TATACGATCATCTTAATGTATGATATTGATTATTTAAACACATTTTTTTGCATTTTTTGACGATTTTAATGCGTTTTCTTAGTTTAAGGTACAATTAATAAATTATATAGTACGACAAATTATCGTCGATATTATTATTTTATTTTATTTTGTTTTTTAATATTGACAATTTTATTATATTCCGTGATATTTTTGATTTATATTATTTAATTTTCGTAAGCTGCAGTAGATTTACCTATTTACATTTATACAATTATATTTATATATTAATTCAATCATTTTTCGTTTTTACATTTATTTATTTGCATTGTATATTATTATTGTCTACTTATTTTTTTTTGTTTGGGGGAAAATTGTCCTGTTCGGGGGGGACGTCCATTGTATCGGGGGGAAAAGGCACGGGGGTAAACGTCCTAGATACAAATTATATACATATTATATTTATTAAATAGTAAATAAATTGAGCGTCTTCAAAATCGTTCTAATTCATTAAAAATATAAACGCCGTTCTCGTTCACGTTCTATTTTTTTTAAATGAGCGACGTTCGCGTATCGTTCACTGATTATGAACGTGAACGTGTGAACATGCGTACATGAACGACGTTATTTCCAAACACTGATGTGTATTGCGGGACAAAAATGAAGAAAAAACCTTCTGTAGTTCTGTACCTAATATGGTTTCAAGATAACTTGTGAATGCTTGTGTACTATTTTCGTTGTTTAAATCGTCATCAATTTGCAATATATTGAATAAGTACTAAATAAAGTAGGTACCTATATGATGAGAAATATTTTCCAATAACATTTATGAAAAATATTTTTCTGTATTTAATTGTTACTGMCTCAAATTTTCTCGAAAATTAATAGCTACTTATTTAATAAGCATTTACCGATTTCTATAGGGCAACTTTATCTCTGGTCGTGTCTCGGCGAACGGCGAAATAAATCGGAGCTCTAGACTAGAGTAAACCCCTTCGCAATCCACTGGCCGGACCACTGTAACCATGGTTAAAGATATACTAGGTAACCAACTGGCAACTCAGGTTACCCTCAGTACTCAATTCCAGAGAAAAAAGGGGATGCAAAAGTG